CTGGAGAAAAGAAAATCATGAGGGGGGCGCCTGGGTGGCTCAGTCGGTTAAGTGTGTGCCTTCAGCTTGGGTCATGATCCCGGGGTCCTGGGATCAAGCCCTGCATTAGGCTCCCTGCTCAGCGGAGAGCCTGCTTCTCCCTCTCCCTTTGCCCCTGCTCGTTTGCTCTCTCACTCACTCTCTCTCAAATAAATAAAATCGTAAAAAAAAAAAAAAAAAAGACTCATGAAGAACTACACTTGTGGTAACATAGCTTAATGTATAAATTTGTTGAATTACTGTGTTGTACACCTCAAACTAATGTAACATTGTCAACTATACTCAGATAACAATTAAAAAAAATGATATCATGAGTTAGAGAAAATATATTTGCAGTACTCTATTGTATTTATTTAAAAAAATTACAGATATAAGTGGATCTGTGCAGTTCAAACCCCTTGTTCAAGGGTCAACCGTATTACGAATTAGTTTAAACTTAACATAGCATTTTTTGCTTAAGTCAACTTTTTATTGAATTATAATAGTGCACAAATTGCATGTACAGCCTGGAGAATTTTCACAAAAGGGAAACACCTGTGTATTGGCACCCAGAATAAGAAACAACTCAAAAACTGCCCTTGCCCATTATATTCTTTTCTAATACTAAATCACTATTTCTGTTGATCAATTTTGCTTGCATTTGAACTTTAATAAATGAAATCATACAGTATGTATTTTTTAAGGTCTGGCTTCTTTTGTTTAACAGTATGATTATGAAATTCATCCCTGTTGTGGCATATAGAAATAGTTTATTTCACTGTTAACAGAGGTGGATTGTTTCAGATCCCCTTTGGTAGTTTAGCCATATTTGGATTAATTATGCATGTGCATTTTGAAGTTTTTTGATTTGCTGACCTTGTTGCATATTTGGTCCCTGTACTCCATCAGTGTTTCAGTTCTTAACCATTTATAACTACAAGACAGTCTTTGCAGGGTATTTTTTAAAGTAGCTTAATCCGCTCATTTCATGCTTAACTCAACAGTCTCTAGGTGGTGTTCTTCTCACATGTTGGTAATTGTTTTTTGGGTTATTGCTGGTTTACAAGTAGTGTTTTTCATTTAAATCAGCTGTCAGATCAGTAGAACTCTATTTTTCTCCTTTTAGCCCTGGTTTCCTGAGGTTCGTGAGGGTTTTGTGTGGCATGTCTTCAGATGAAAGGAAAGCATTCCTGCAGTTTACCACTGGTTGCTCAACTCTACCCCCAGGCGGACTGGCTAATCTGCATCCCAGGCTCACAGTTGTACGCAAGGTACAAACGTTAGCTAATAGGGAATCCAAACGGAATTTAGTTACTACAGGATTGAAAGAAATAAATACTTAAAGTCATGGCCTTCTGTTTTTCACTTTTCTTTCTCTAGGTTGATGCTACTGATGCAAGCTATCCATCAGTGAATACATGTGTGCATTATCTAAAGTTGCCTGAATATTCTTCGGAGGAGATCATGAGAGAGCGCCTACTAGCTGCTACCATGGAGAAAGGCTTTCATCTCAACTGAGCTTCGAAGTGGGAGACATCAGAGACTTTTAAAATACTAGTGAAGCCTCTTGTGTTTGTGTGCAGAGAAGTATATGATCCTCTACGCTAATGACACTTGCCTTTATTTCAACCATTAAGGCTTTAAGAACATGTGGAATAAGTTGGTTAGCTGCTAATGACAAAACAAATCCTTTAACTACCCAGCCAGAAAGTATATAGCACAGAACAGTGTGTTGCTACAAGGGCTTAGTGACTGGAAAAAGGTGGTCGCTACTTGACTGTTCCAAAGAGCAGCTTCTAAGATCTTCAGTGTTCACCGGTAAATTTCTAACAGTGTATTTGTGTAAAGTTTGTCGTTTCATACTTCATACACTACAGTTGCCGTCACTGATCCCTGTTTTGCTGGCTTTTAAGCTACTCGGTCAAAAATCCTGCTTCCTTAAAACATAGAGAGTTAATGAGCATCTCAAGCTTTTTCTTTTCCTTTTTAATGATGCCTGCACTATCAGAGTATTTTAGTGTTCTCTCTTTTGTTTGGCATATAATCATGCACAACCTTTTTATTTCTTTGAGGTGGGAGTATATTTTTATTTCCTAAATGCCGTACTATAAAGATCAAATTCTTAAGTGTGTTTGTGCAGCTCAGAAGTAAAGATATATTAAGGGGAAAAAAGAAAAAACACTGGTCTAGATGCAAGGCACACTTAAAAGCAAGTTTTACTTTTGGTTGTATTTTCTTTGTATATTATAAACATTTATTTAACTTGTTGCAGTTTGAAGTAAAAAATTTCCAAAATGTATGCTCAACAATAATCATTAAAATGTTTGCAGCGTACAAAACTGTGTCACGTGACTGTTTCACTGCAACGAGCAGACCTAAGAGCTTAAGCAGATATTTTTTATTTTGAATCACTGAGATTTAGTTTTTTGAAATTACTACATTTAGAAATGTATTTTTCTATAGTAAATACACTTACTGAAACTGGAAAGCTAGAAGAAATATATGTTCACATGCTTGTGATCCAACTGTTGTGTGCTGTCTTAAAGTATTCTTTAGCTAAGAATGGCCAAGTTATTTGTGTTAACTTTTTCAACACCAGATCTGCTCCTTACTTTTGTATCTGCAGGGATGTGTAAGTCTAAGATCCAAGAATGATTTCTCAATGTGGTGTTAGTGTGAAAAGAAACCACCAGGATACTGCCATTTCCTGGTTTTGAAAAGGGCTTCTTCTGTTTCCGTTTTCCAAATTCCCTTGATGTATCACATCTGTGCCCTTAGGTGAAAGAAATGTCACTAGGCCTGATTTAGCCAAATGGCTTTTTTAGGAGTGAAAAGCATTTTTTGGAATTGCCTATTATTTACCTGTTTAAAAGGTACATTCCCTTTCTACATTAGAAGAGAGATCTCCCACTATAGTCAATCGTTTGAGTACTGTTTTTATTCTCTGCATGAGAATGTTGTGACATGTTATCAGTGGCAGCATTTAAATAATTCATCTTGTTGTTAGTTTCACAGTTCTCTTTGAGAATAAAAGTTAAAATAAAACATAATAGCAATATTTAAATGTATGACCTATGCTTCAATCCAAAAAAATAGTGGTGGTGATTGTCTCAATAAAGTCATGGATGCATGACTAAAACTTCATACTAGTGTTAGAGTTAAAATCCAATTTATGGGCTTAGTATTGCCATTTATCTAAGTCTGTAAAATGTCTGTCAATACCCAGCTTTTATCAAGACTAATCTAGCACAGGGCTCAGCAAACGATGGCCTGCTGCCTGCTTTTGTATTGCCCACGTGCTAAGCATGGTTTTGAAATTTTTAAGTGGTTAAAAAGCAAAAAGAATAATATTTTATGATGTGGAAATTTTATGAAATTCAAATTTCAGTGTCCATAAATAAATAAAGTTTTATTAGAACACAGCCATGCTCATTCCTTTATGTATTATCTGGGGTGTTTTTACACTACAGTGGCAGAACTGAGTGTTTACAGCAGAGACCATATGGCCCATGAGCCTAAAGTATTTACTATCTGGCCCTTTACAGAAGAGGTTTGCTGAATCCTGGTCTAGCACGTTGCTGTAGCAGGTAAAATTGATGAGTCTTATACATTCAGTAAATGAAATGTCAGGAGTCTTCAAGATAAAGCTGACCAATCTGAGGCATAAATTTCATGAGTGTGAAAATCACTTAACACTGTTCACCACAATTCAGCAGTAAACATGAAGGGAAATTATGACACAGCCTAGAAGAACAGATTGTCCTATTACAGTTCACTTTGCATGAGTCAAGCGTTAGGAGACCTCTACTAGGGTCTCCACATGTATTAGGTTATTCGGCTTTCTTTCCTGTGGTATCTACCTAGTATTTTTTTTTTTTTTTTTTGTTATTCTCTAAAGGTACTAAAATCTGTGCCAAGATGTTACCCAAGTGCTATTTTGGTGTGACCTAAAAATTAATTTTGTTCACTCCCTAGTTACTTCTGGTGTACCAGTTTCAGCAGTTACCTGAATGTGCTACTGATTAAGTGCCTACCAACTAGGACAGTGTTTCCCAACTAATATGTCTTAGACCTCCAAAGCACTTTGATCTAGACTGGGCTTTCCCCACACCTTGGCTACTTAATGCAAAGGGGGATCTATAGACATGTACCATTTGCTGTTCTGGCGGTCAGAAGCCTTTCTTCTGCCTTTCTGAATGAGTCCAACTCAGGTTTGCTTTTCGAATCCATTATTGCCTAGTTGCCTGGGTCTTAATAGATGCAAACTTTAAATATGTAAGTAGATTTTTAGAAAGAAAGATTTAAAAGAAATCCTTCCCCCACCTCTACAAAACAGCAAACAGTACTGAATGAATCATCAATACCGGGAATGTCCATTTATGTTTTCTTTCAGAGGATAGAGTGTTGTAGATGAAAGAACTCTTGGAATTCCATAGGATGGCACGATATCTTAATGTACCAAGACTGTATTTCTGTTTCTTCCATTTTATCTGCCTTCCTACCCAATATGCACATAAACATGCTTTTACCTAAGACAGTTCTGTATACTCCTGTTGATAGTAGCAAAAGCATCTAGAAAAGTTTGGAAGGATCAGGCAGGTCATTGCTTTTTTATAGTGACTTCGTTTTCTTTGCTTCAAGACATTCCAGGAGAAGGGGGTCAAAGGAATGAGTTAGGGAGGCAGGGGAGAACTCGGATTCATATCATGCTGACCTCAACAGGGATATTCTCTTGCATTCTATTTTTAGACTTTGAACTAAATTTTCATTTACAAATAAGTTTACTAATAAGACAAACCATTTACAATATGGCCTAAAGGATGGTTATAAGAGCTCTCTTTCAATGTGTAACCATTCATTTTTGGTAGTAACATTATAAGTGAATTAATTACATGATGACATTGTAATTGCCAAGTGCCAATAAAATAGTTATCAGGCTTTTAGAAACTGGCAAATAAAATTTAATTCTCAATTTTTATTAGGTACACAATTTTGTAAAGTTTTGACTTTCTAAATCATTTTAAGGAAAACGAGCATTCAGAAAACATTCAAAGTACTATGTGTGTTTAAAATTTTATTGGCTGATAATTGTCACAGGTCTTCCCATGCTGCTAATCCTGAATTCAATGTGCATAAGAAAGCAGAGAACAAAAAAGTTACCCTCAGAACTCAACAAAATTTGAACAAGTGGGGAAAAAATGCTTATGGTTAGAAAACAAAACTGTCTCTTAGTTCAGAGAAAACATTTCTTTGAATACCATATTTAAAAATAAAGCTTTGTTTTCCATTTAGGAAATGTGGAAAACACCTATTTAAAATGTCTTTGGAAGGACACCCCATTTTGCAATGTGCAGTCTTCCACATTTTTTGGGCTACAGATGTTGAGAGGTATTCCATGGTATTCTCACTTCTACAGGTTGATGTTGTCTGGCAGAGCCTTCCATCATTCAGCTTTCTGACATTTTATCAAGAATGAGTAGAGGGGCAAGAATTCTTGCCCTATTTGTTTCCACAATGCAGCCATTTAACACCATCTCATCCAAAATGATGTGCACTTTATCCAAATTAAACATTATCTAAGTTCATATTAAGGAAATTAGTTTTAGAGTTACAAAATGTTAACATGTAACAGTAAGTAATAACTTACAACTTAACCTATAATTTTTCCCATGTAAATTAGTCTAAGCATAAAGTGTTTTTTTTTTCTGTTTTTTACAGAACTTCTGAAATTAGATTTAAAATTGGTGTCCATGTTAGAAATTACCTTCATATCCACATACACACCTAGTTTCACCTTGGTTAAGCTCACTGGCCAATAGGCATAGAAACAGAAGAGCTACTACTACACCTTTTAGCCAGAGGGAAAGTGACTCTACTAAGAACTAGAGAACAAAGCAAGTGACATTGGCAAGAGCATGACTGGACAAGAGCAGTGTTGTCTTCCCCAGACACTAATAACATCATCACTAATATACACGATGTTCCAGGCATGGTGTTGAGTGTTTTACATAATTTTTTCAGTCTTCTCTACAACCCTATGATACAAATGTTACATATTATCCTAATTTTACATGGGAGCAAATAGGCTCAAAGCCATTGTCCAAGGTCACATGGCTGGTAATTGCCAGAGGTGGAATTTAAGCCCACAGCTTTGGTTTGATAGTTCTGCTTCCAGACTTCTCAGGAGGGGCCTGCGGCTACTGAGTATACACCCTCCCTCAGCCCTCAAACCTCACCCGAAACCAAATGCCTTCACAAAACCTCATGTCTTAAGCTATCTTTTCTCTCAGGACTGAAGAAAAAATCACCAAGAGTAGATATGAATGAAGAAGGCAAGACAATGCTAATTCCCAAGTAGATAAAAATTCTGAAATTCATGAGAATATCTTGCATGAATGAACAGTTCTAAAAATACTCCTTTGAGAATTATGGAGCCACTTGAGGGTACTGATGTTCCTAGTGGAAAGTTAGTATAGGGTATGGGGGAGACAAAAATGTTGTTAGCCTGTGAGGTCTTGCTAATTGGAAAGAGCCAAATTCTTTCCCCCCAGGAGCCCCTTCAGGAAACTTTTCTTTTGTGAAAGGAGAAGGGGAACTAGAATGAGATGATGACAATATTGAATGGTTCTGAATTCTACACTTTAATAGCTTATTTTCATCTCTATTTAAAGAACATGATCCTGGTCTGTTTAAAAAAAAAAAAAACAGCTGATTGAAGCAGATGGTTTCAAATAGACAAACTTCAACAAATGAGTGACTTAAATGCACTAGGGAGTTCATAATTAGTGAATCTTTGTAAAGTGAATCGTTACCACCTGATTTTTTTCAATAATTCCAGATGTTAAAGTCTGTATTGTATTTTAGTGAAATACGTCTGTAGAAAATGAGACAACCCTGTGAACGACTTTTAGGTTTCTCTTAGGCTCTGCATTAATATCTCATTAAGCTCTGTGCAAAGAGTCCTCTAGCAGAATAAACTTTTTCAGGAGCCCATGGGAACTATCCTTAAATGACCCAGAAAAGAAAAAAAAAAAAAAAAGCTTTACTCTGATAAACCTATTAATAATGTCTTCCAATTATATAGATGATTGCTTTGTCCATGACCAAACTGGGACTGGAATATTAGGCCCTTGACTCAATCAGACCCAGAAGCCAGAACTCAGAAGCCAGACAAAGTGGAAATGTCAGCTGGGTACAAAGAAGCGGAGTTGGGGAGCATAGGTGGCTGTGTGAAAAATGGCCTTCATATGAGAATTTGCTGCTGAATCATATCAACCACTGACATCCTCACATCGTTAAGGACAAGGTCTTTCAGCAAGTCTGAATTTCCCAACATCCTAGAAACATGAGTTGCTCAGTGAGGTCATTCTGTACTGTGGGCATGTGACTGCCTGTCTTATCTGAGTAGCTGATTCAAGCCCTTAATAACCACGTGGCTTTCTGGCACTATATGGGGAAACCACAGACCAAATCCAATGTGAGGCAAAGGCCTGAAAGATGATTTCCCCCTGGAATCATGTGACTCCTTTAAAATAAGAATCCAGCTGTTGTTTACATCTTGATTTGGTTTATAAGCAACTTGTACACACTGGTGAAGCCAAGAGTAATGGCATTTGGGATACATGTCAGGGACCAAAAAAATGCCTTATATGCAAAGCCCCATGGCAATAAACAGGCAAACATGCTTCAGCCCTGACATCTGGAATAGGATGAAGCAAGAAAGGTCCAGGCTATTTGTCTATTAATGTAGTAAGCTGAGAATGACTATTTCAAGAGGGTCCTACCTTTGGGTTGTACTTAACTTGACTGACTTAAAGATCCCTAGGGCAACTTGAACACCCTAAGGTTGGAACTGATAGGAACTACAGACAGCCTCCCAAAGAGCAGATTCAGAAAGCCCCATTTTCTCCCAATCCTGAAACCCAAGAGCCTTTCTGAATTGTTATGTAATGTGGGTTGAAGTTGAACATAGTGCCACTTGAAACCAGTTTTTTAATTAAAGCGCTTGAAATGTTTCTGGTTCCTACATTGGAATTTTGGTCTCTGGATCATAAATCATTTTTTCAGTATGGTATTTTAGTATCACTGTGGTGGTCTAGTTATCCTTTCAAAAGAGAAAATTGAGCAGCATATATTCGAATGGGACCTGAAAAGCAATTCCCAGGCAGAGCCCAGCCTAGAAACTAAAATTCTAATTCGAGATTTTGGTCTCAGATCCCTTGTCTTCTTTTTTTATTTCTTTTTCTTTTTTAAGATCCTACCTAAGCAAAGTTCTTGATAAACTAATTGGGGTGGGGAAAAACTTGCTCTCATATTTATACTTTAATTCAATTTGCCATGAAATTAGATAAACTGTGAAGGGCCTTTGTGTTCACATTTCCCACAGAAAAGGGACTACTGTGTAGAAGACTATCTTCATGAAGATCATGCACAGGACTGGGTATACTCTCCTTACAATACAGTCTGCTGTCCACTTTTAGGCTTGGTATTGTTCCTTGTTAATTAACCCACTGAAAAGGAGTTTATCTTTTTTTTTTTTTAATGGGTTTTTCCTTAAAGGCCTATTCATATTCTGAAATCAACAAGACAGCCAGGTGTAATTATTTTAAGTTTGTATAGATTTATGTAAAATTACACAAATATGAAAGCATTGGGTCAAATGAGCCTGTCAGTTTCTTTGGTTTTTCTCCTAACTCTGTTGCTCCTCCTAACTTGCTGTCATTATTCCTGAGTAAAACAAACAGAACCTGGAAGCATGAAGCGAAAGGAGTGGGGGTAAGGCAGAGGGACCTGGCAGGGGGAGGGGTAGTAGCGGATGCAAATGGCACCTACAGGACGCAGTTCAAGGAAATACGAAGACAGCAAAGGCCAATGAGAACCAGAGAAGCCCGGAAAGCAGAACTGTTCAATCTGGAACCCTCACACCCCATTCCCAGGTAAATGGCTGACTCCCTTGGGGACTGTTCATAATTCTGACTCTTCACTCATGACAGCACTGACTGCAGTTCTCATGCTAAGATGGTTTTGGCCCCCTTGCTTCTCAGTGCCTGCCCTTCCCAAAGACTGGCCAAGCTGCATGGGCCAGCCCTCACGCTTTGTAGCCCTGCTTTCAATTTACATATTTTAAAAAGAAAGAAAAAAAAAGATGTTTAGAAATTACTAAATGTGGGGGTGCCTGGGTGGCTTAGTCAGTTGGGTGTCTGACTCTTGATCTCAGCTCAGGTCTTGATCTCAGGGTCATGAGTTCAAGCCCGACATTGGGCTCCATGCTGGGCATGGAGCCTACTTGAAAAAAAAAAATCACGAAATGTGAACTCCACTTTTGGAGAGCATGCTCTTTTTTTTTTTTAAGATTTTATTTATTTATTTGACAGAGACAGTGAGAGCAGGAACACAAGCAGGGGGAGTGGGAGAGGGAGAAGCAGGCTTCCTGTGAAGCAGGGAGCCCGATGTGGGGCTCGATCCCAGGATCCTGGGACCATGACCTGAGCCGAAGGCAGACGCTTAACGACTGAGCCACCCAGGTGCCCCTGGATAGCGTGTTCTTTTCAAGACATTCAGATACTCTTTCATCATATCTGACTCCTCCAACCAAAGTCTAGTGTTTCTTCAAAACTTCTTCCCTACTTCAGGAAAAACTTTGACAACACCAAGATAGCACAGTGACAGGCACTTTACAAATGTTTTGTTAGAAACTAAACTGCCACAATCTACTCCAGATAATATAACATTTTTTAAAAACGTGTCAGATTTAATCTTATCTAACTTTATTTATTTATTTTTTTTAAGATTTTATTTATTTATTTCAGAGAGAGAATGAGAGCTAGAAAGCACGAGAGGGAAGAGGGTCAGAGGGAGAAGCAGACTCCCCGCTGAGCAGGAAGCCCGATGTGGGACTCGATCCTGGGACTCCAGGATCATGACCCAAGCCGAAGGCAGTCGCTTAACCAACTGAGCCACCCAGGTGCCCTAACTTTATTTTTTTTAAGGATTTTATTTATTTGACAGAGAGAGAGCACAAGCAGAGGCAGTGGCAGGCAGAGGGAGAGGCAGGCTCCCCACTGAGCCACCCAGGACCCCTACTATATCTAATCTTATAGCCCTGGAAACCTAGAGACTGGTACCAGCTCTGCCCCAAAGTAGCTCTATGGCTTGGGACATGTCACAGAATCTCTCTGGGCTTCAGCCTCTTCATCTAAAACATGAGGTTTTAACCTGATGATGGTGTAGTTTTCTTCTAGCTCCAAAGTACTCAAATCCTAGGCCTCTAAAAGTAACTTTCAGGGAGACGGGAGCTAGTTTACTCCTATCTGACATTATCAAGTCATTCCTGAGGTAATCACATACTCCATCATACCTCATAAGAAATCCTTTGGTAATGACTTAATTATTGTAACCTTTCTGAGAGAACATGGAGACAATTTCAGTTTATTTAGAAGCTACCACTTTGGTGTTAGATGGCTTCCCTGGAGAACTTCTTTGTTCTCCTTGCCAGTATTTCCATAGCCCCTAGTTGAACAAGTACTTTTGTGATTTCTCATGAAGTCAGTGTGAAGTTAGCTCCTATTCCAAGAAG